GCATGGTGGAGTTATGGAGAGATAGATGCAAAGCTGCTGAGTCGACGACTCCTACAAACCACACAAGGGCTTCTGCTCATACCAGTAGCTCATATTATCTCATTTTGTTTTTGCGGATGAAAGAACATTAGTATCTTGTCTTGCAGAAATGTATGTGTGATATAAAATGAATAGCGCTGTCTTTTTCAGGCCCCTTTTCTTAAAATCACCCATCTTGCTCCACAGAGTGAACCTGTAGTGAGCAAGTCCTCCATTCTAACTTTTCCTTTTACTCAAAAGTTACAGTGTCTGAGTTCCATTTAAACTGCCTGGATGGAGGCAAACATTAAAATTGAAAACTGCTCATTTATGAATCGGATTTGTTCTGCATATACGGTTCCATAGGAGATGCACTTGGAATGGATAGTCAAAGAAAGAGAATGCGCCTGCATTTTAATGAATATCTCTCTCTCTCTCTCTCTCTCTCTCTCTCTGTCTTTCTCTCTCTATTTCACCTATAGGCTATTTTGCTGTGCGTGTGCTTCTCAGAATTAGGGTCGCGTTTGTTTGGACATTTTCGAGCACAGATCCCAGATTTCCCCATTTTGATCATGGGTTAAGCTCCACGCTGGGAGTCTTTTATCAAGTGGTCCTGAGTTCCGAACTGAATTAGACATTCTTCACGGACTCAAATTCAATTTGCGCTGTGCTTTAATCAAACCCTTTCATAAAGGTCATCATTATCCCTGATTTTCATATTGTCATACCCTGCGCTAATCTCAGCACAGGGAAGTAATTTTCATTTCAACCTCAATGTGTTTTATTATTTTCAATATTCTATTCTACACTGAGTTTATAAATGTCAAAATGACTCCCCCTAAGCTTTTTAAATATACCATTCTGTTCCTTTATTTCTCTGCGAAACTGCTTTCATTATAGAGCCAGTAGGGAAGACTATGCAGTGCTCTGTCTGTAACAGTTGGGTCAGACTGATACTCGACTCCACTGTGTCATTCCTCAGGGCTGGCATTTGCAGAATTTCACACATAAAACAATTAGCATCTGTTTTCTATATCTTCTAATTTCAGTATACAAAACTATTAGTGATGTAGCAAATAAAGACCACACATCTTTTTTTCTATACAGCAAAATGGAGATACCTTATGGCGTTTATCTGCGTCCAGCTAAACTTAATGACCACTCTTCAAGGGTTATTTAGTAAAGACAACGGTTTTTATATGTATATGTATATATATACATATATATATATATATATATAGAGAGAGAGAGAGAGAGAGAGAGAGAGAGATATGAGGATATATATAACACTGCCGTTGGAAAACTTTGTCTCTCCAAAATGAGAAGGAAAAATATATTTTACTTTTAATGTAGGTGAATGGAACTGAAAAATGCCAGAATATATATATACATATATATATATATATATTATATATATATATATATATTTAGTAAATGGTTCTTCTAAAAGGGGGTTCCGTATAACACTGAAAAGGGTTCCACTATTAATACAATAAAATACAATAAAAGTCCTTTTTTTGGTACTATACAGTTTTTACTTTAACACTGAGGATTTTACTGTGTATTTTTTACCTTTTGTAGAAATAATCTATTAATTATCTGTTTGTTACATTGTTGTTATCATAAAAAACCTCCAAAATGTTAATGTAATGAACTCTTATGATATAAGAAATTTTGAACTATTTCTGCTGGCCTATTCCTATATGGAATTATTCACAGAATTTAAAGGGTAGCTGATGTTTCCAAATGGCAAAAAATAATGATATTAATAAACTTCCAAAAATGGTGAAGTTTTAATATGACAGTGATGATGTGTTCTAAGTGAGTGCCTTGTCACAGGGCTAAGCAAAGCTTACTGGTGCAGTAAGAACAGTGTTTATTTCAGAATGCTCCTCTAGACAGGGATCCAAATGGCAAGTTAGTCATTCCATCAGATTCAGAAGAGAATGGAATATGCTGACTGTTACCACCCTTAAAGTGGTTAATTAGTGCTTGAGCTAAGAGAGTGTGCGGTATGTTTCGATTGGAATAAAGCGTTCAGTGGGAGGCAGTGAAAAGCTCAATTGAGGGCAGTCACCTACCCATGGGGAGTTCTAAATATGACCACATGATGTGTCTGGCTGTTAACATGGACAGACGAAAGGCAATACTGAAACAGTACCGAGCTGAGATAGGTGACAGTGAGTGCCGAGCCAGCTATCAGAGTATGTAATGTATCTTGCAGAATATAGCTACCCAAACTAAAAATATTATAGTGACGGCCACCTCATGGCATGATATCTCGAAGTGAGATAAACAGCTTTGATTTCACTCCTCAGGTTTCCTCTGGCCAGAGTCACGAGCAGTATAGCTCATAGTGTTGGGAGGTTATCAAGGGAAAAAGCAAAGCCTTAAAAAAATAACATTTGGGACTTTGGGTTTGGATAGACTTTCTTGGTGAACTTCAAAATATATCCATGGAAACATATAATCAAATTTCTGGAATACATATCGACTTCACAGAGGCATCATTTTTCGTTAGGTTTCCTAAAGCCATTTTTGCACTATAATCAGTTGGCAGAAGCGGCTGAGAGTTTTTTCTTCACATGTTATAAGTCCAGCAGCACCACCACCACCAGCCTGGACTGAAGAGAACAGAGGGATATTATACAAACTGCTGGAAAAGATGAGAGCAGCCTTCCTTTCCTTGCTCTGCACAGTGTAACTTTCCCATCATTTAAAGTCCCACGAAACAAATTGTGTGCTTGAACGTCATCAATCAAAACCAGCCAATGTGGAGAATTTTAATGCTATTCATTTTCTATACGGTCAGCTGGACTGAACACAGACAAAGAGCTAGAAAGGATGAAAAAAAGAGAAAGGCCTTAAAAACTTTTACGTGCAAGTATAAAAAAAAATACACACACATAACGAATGTTCTCCCTCCACTCTTTCTTTGCCATTTATTCAAAAATGAAAAAGCATACAAATTCTCACCGGACTGGCTGGAAAAAGAAAAACCCAGTGCCCCACGCTCCATTTACTTTTTCCTCTCACTGAAAAATTATTTCAGATTTTCTTAATGCAAAGAATGAGTCATTTAAGGAGGCTGAAAAAGCATCAATATTTGCAGAATTTCACCCAAGGCTTACATTAATCTTTAGCCTCTAAATGATTCTTGGTCATTTCATTTCGTAGATTTATAACAATCAGCTCAGTGTTTGTAGGACAGGACTTAAGGCATCTGTGTCAGGAATTTAATTTCAATCCTTGTTTATTTCTGCTTGTTCACTGTTAAGAGATTTCTTGTTCCAAGCAGCAATAAAAAGTAGAGAATCCTCAAAAAGTCTCAGACATAATACATTTTAATTTATCATTTTTTTATTACTGCTGTTTTGTGCTTCATGCTATTCTAATGAGAACATTACAACATGACATCTCACAGTGGTCAAATGATTTTAATAACCTTTAATGATAACTCAGCTCTGAAACTACTGTCTAAATCTCTTAGAGTTATTCTCTTATTTTATAATGATGTACAAAGTTCTTTGAGAGATAAAAAAACTAGAAAAGTATTTTTGTTAATGCTTCTATTTATATGCAATGTAAAATGGATTAGATTGTTTCATAGCTTTGTGTTTTGTTTTGGTTATTATTCATAGTAATTACTGAAGAAAGGCCCTCTATATGAGTATGAATGGCAAAGGTAAACTGATTCTGTGCTTTATTGCATTTTATCTGAATCATTTTCTAGCTATGTAAAAAAGATTTATATAAGAGCATAAAGCTATGTGTAGGTCAATGGCCATTTACTTCAGCTGAATATATCATCGGTGTCAGAACAAAACCTTGTATCCTATGTTTGTTTATTTTTTCTTTTTCTCTTCTTCAGAATTTAAAAATGCCTAATGGCCTTTACAAAATGTTAAAATTTCACAATAATTACAGCACTATAAATGATCCAAAATTACACTGATTTTTTTTTTTTGCTTCACCTGTTTTGCAGCCAGCCACTGCTGAGTTGTCACCTGTTAGCATTATGCATTAGCAGTAGGCTTATATTAACATCCAGATTGCAGACTGTACCTTCAACATTCTGACAAGCTAATCATTAGCAAACTTATGATGGTTGCATACAATTTCATATTTTAGCCACTTTCAAAGAAAAAGTCATAATAATGTGCTAAAATTTCTCTTGAAAAATGAAACTGCATTTAAAGAGTTAAAGGGGAATTCCATCGATCTTTCAAAACTTCTGCATAGGTCAACCAGTGAGATGTAAACAAAGTCAACCAGAGTGGTTTGCTGTGAAATGCTCTGTCGTAGAGAAACTTGACGAGTCAGAAATGTTCACAGCAGTTCTGATAGGAACCAGACATCCGAAGAGTTTTTCGGCTGTAAAAGCTCCCTCACAGAAAGTTATTACAAGAAATGGTTAAGTTTACGTCGCTGATGTCTGAGACACTGTTTTACGACACTCTTTTGGCCTAAAAAAACATAAATGTTTTTAATACACTCATGGCGGAATGATACATGCAGGGCGTTGTGAGGCAAAATACTCCCAAATAAAATTATTTTCCCCCAGATTTACCTCTATTTTACCATCATTGTTGCATTCAAATACTCAGAAGACTCATACAGGTTCACTAGTGGTTTTGGATAGTAAATAAAAAATCATTACATTTGCACTGTAAACATTGCAACTCCTGGTTCCTATCACCCCTGCTGTAAAGACATTCAAGTCGGTAAGTTTCTCTACAATGAAGCATTTCAGACCAAACCACTCTTAATGACTTTGTCAACATCTCGACGATTGAACTATGCAGAGGTTTTGAAAAATGGGTGGAATTCCCCTTTAACGTGAGAAGAGGCTGAGTGCGGCTACAGCAGTGCTCGGAGCTGAAGGTGTCTGTCCCTTTAAGAGCGCCCGCTCTAGGGTGGCGCTTCCCTCCGCAAGGGCTTCTTGATATTAATAGTGTTGGTGTCTTGAAACTGACGTAATGGTTGGAGTCTGAGGTCCTGACAAGCGATAACGTTTCTGATAAAAAAGAACTGAGATCACTGCAAAACTTCACCTTTTCTTCCAACCAGACTCAGACGGCGTTTTTTTTTAAATACCAAACACATTTCACCCCGGTTTCACTTGCAGAGGAGCAATCTTATGTGCCCACAAACAGAGAGCGAGAGACAGAGAGAGAGAGTGAGAGAGAGAGAGACAGAGAGACAGAGAGGGAGAAAAGAAACAATTCCCGAGATCAACAAACAAAACAACACAAAGACGGTTTCAATGGCTCACGCCAAAAGCTCCACCATCTTTCAGACCGCAAAGCCAAATGCAGTTTAATCAACAGGTAAGGAGAAAGCGAGATGAATGAGCATGGCGAGCACACACATCAGATGTGCTGTGTGTTTTTTCTTTAGCAGTATAGTTCCTGAACGGGCTTTTTTTCTTCTTCTTCTCGTCCAGGCGAGCGTTATGTAATGCTGGAGGAGGCTGAGGGATTTTCGCGAGTCACTTTGTGAGCTACTTTGCAGTGAAAAAGGGGAGCAGAGGCGGCTCGGATTCCCCATGGCATTTAGGTTTTGGTGGGTCAAACGCGTGAGAAATTGAAATCGGCTGCTTCTGCTCGGTGCCCCCCTCCTTCTCCTCCTCCTCCTCCCGGTAGTGGGGTCACGTTCACACACGGGGGAAGAAAACATGACTTCCAGTAGGTCTTTTACTCATTTTTTTAAAAAGTAATCTTTCCCGTTTCTTAAAAAACGACGGCGAGCCGCTTCGACCTTCCTGCGTTTTCGTAACGCCGCTGGCTTTGTTTTTATTATTACTGTCGCGCGCGGTTAGCATGGATGCTAGCAGGTACTTTGCTGTGTGAAATGCGCTGTAATGCTGTAATGTGTGTGTGAGCGAGTGTGTGTGTGTTGTGGGAGATGGGAGTGAGCGGGATGGGGTGGCTTTGTGCCGCAGCGTGGAAACCCTTCTGCTCCCTTATTGTTTGGAAGGAAATGCGTGGTGGGAGAGAGCAGAGGAGCTCTAACGTCCATATCAAAAGTAAAGTCCGAGCGGCTGGCTAGTTTGCTCTGAGGCGCCTTGTTTTTTTGACGGTTGTTAATAATCCCGTTAATCCTGGACAAGAGTTTTTTTACACGCAACTTTTCTTTTTTAAAAGAGAGAAAACTTTCCGTAAGTGATGTTTTGGTGCTGATAGAGCGCGTAGGCACGGCAGCATGCTGAAGGCTGAACTGAAAGAGAGCCCCGACTGTGTGTCTTCTGATGGGGAAACTAACTGGCCCACTCTGAGAAGTTTCTCTTGAGTGGATTAGCTCCTTTTTTGTGGGATTATTTGTAGCCTGTGCTCAAGTTTGCCGGGAGTCGTTGTTGTTGTAGCTTCTTCGAGACCTTCTCGAGTGAGTGGGTGAGCGAGTGAGTGAGGAGACATGGAGCAAGTTTTTGGGAAGAAGTTTGTGAATTTTCTGTGCTCCTAGAAAAATAACAGGACTGTACACACGTGATTTGGATGGCTGTGTATGTGTACAAGACGTGCGTGGCGTTTTTAATGCGGTCGTTTTGGTAAACCTGAAGGGCATTCTCTGGCTCTGCTTGCTGTGAGGCTGTAGAATTTTCTTGTAAACTTCTTGAATGATTAGGATCCACGGTGCTGCAAAAATGGTCAGAAATTCTCTTTAAAATATGTACTTAATTTTTTTTATTTGTTAACACATCCAGTGTTCACATCTTATAGTCATCACTTTAGTTATAAACTAGTAACTACACAAGTCTGTGTCTTCAGTGATCCAAAAAACAGGTGAAATTAAGTTGAGTTCTGTTAGCTTGTCTAGTTTGTGCTGCTGCTTTTACAACAAGTGTAACTTTGCTAAGAGTGCCAGTTGACTGGATTTTACGGCCCTAACCCACAGTGATACATTACTGGTAGGTTTAAGTGGGTGGAAAAAAACCACTATTTTACTTTAACCTGAGATAAAAATCACCCGCCTTTTGTGGCACTGAAGCATAACCCGTATCTGATTGTTATGACACAAAATTCCCAAGTTGGTTCCAGTAGATGGTTTGTACTGTTTCCTGTAAACTGTGAAAGCAGCCACACTCAGGCAGTCTGGAAATGATGCACGCACCGCCGCTGAAAGGGCTGCTTTCTTGTCAGTGAAAGTTTCTTAATGACAAGGCCTGTGCAAACAAACGCCGCTCATCATTTGGAGAAAAGAAGAGAGACTCACAGCTGTAAACAGAGTTTCAGATAGCGTCAACAAGGAACCAGTGGGTATTGTTCCACACTCACAGCCATGCCAGTTTAAGACTTTTGTGTTTTCAATGTGTATGTGAATCTTACATGTAAAAAAATGGACTTTTATTGTAGTGTTGGATTTTAATGTTGTGGTAGTTAAACTAGCGTTAGTAGTATTACTCCCTGCAGACAGCTTCACTAAATCCCCCCCTCCTTTATTTAGCATATCTTTTTATGCCTCAGAGTTTATACCTTTTCAAATATGAGTCCTGATGTTCGTCTGTGTGTATTGAGATTCACATTGCTGCTTTCAGTTCTCTTTTTAAAGAGAAGAATGAGATCTGCATGGGTTGTCTGATAAGGGCTGTTTGAAGTGATTGAAATGGCTGAGGTAGATTTGAAATGTAAATGGGTCCGCATCTGTGAGCCCTTTGGGCGGGATGCAATAGATCAGCGTTGTATAGTCAGGAACTTTACGGTTGACAGATGAATTTGGGCCTGGGCGTTTGGAGAAAGCACCAGTGGGGGGGCTTGCATTTGTTCTACATGGCTTTTGAGTTTGCACAACTTCTTTTCTGGACTCGCTTCTTATCACAGCAAGATGAGCCCCACACTTTGTCTCTTCCCTGCAGATTCATGTGCCTGCTGCTGAATGAAAAGGCTGTTGAGAAAAAGAAATCTTTTTTTTTTTTTTATTAAAGGGGTACAACTGGCATATTAAGTCTCAGCCTGGACTGTTATAGAGAAAACACAATTGAAGCTCCCTGCACTGTTTTTCTCAGCTTGAAAGGATTCGTAAGTGGCTATTGTGCATTATTTGTTTGACGATTTATACTTTTTTCATGTGCTTTAACAAAAGTTGATTTACTCACATGCGGTGCCAAAAGTAGCTGCAGATGAAGTGCTTGTAGAGTTTTGTGGGAATGTCTGCATTAAGAGGATTGTCAGCTAGAATTACTGAAAGTTGTTTGGATAGAGTTAAAATATGTATTTTTTAACATTTCTGGAAGCCTTCAATTTTTGGTGCACACACCAAATGTTGATTCTTTTTAAAAGATATTTTAAAACTGCTTTAAAATGATGAATTTAATGTTGTGACGGTTTATTGCACAAAAAACAAAACTAACAAACTTCTGAAAATTGGCGTTAGCACTGAAACGTCAAATAGGATTCTGTATTGATTTTATAGATAGTCTGTTTTCTTGCCTTTATTATTTCCACCTTCCACAGTTGTTAGAAGTGTTCAGATGGATAGTTATCAGGTAGATTTCTGCTGAGTAGTTCTAACTTGTCATTAAAACTGTTTAATCGATGACTGTTTAGATATAGGGATATTTTTCGGAATTTTTTTGTGAACCAAAGTTTACACAGAAAGAATTGTTTTCTGTAGTTGGTTGTCTCAAAGCGTTTAGAATAGAACATCTGAGTCATCCCAGTTTTTTCATTTTTTGTTTTAGTATTGCATCAAAGTGAGTCATAGTTAAAGGTTTTCACTGTGATTTGATTTTTCTTTAGCTTTTCTTTTTAATAGCAACATGGCTGAGATGTCTGTAGTGTTCTATGTTGTTAGCTTGTACTATAAACTGACCGCTGCTGGTGTCGTCAACAAAGGAGACCGCTCTCTAAGAGTGTGAAAAGTTTGTGCTGGGGTGAGAGGACAGTTTCCTGAAGTGAGGTGCTGTATGAAAGGTTGTTGAGATGTCTGTTTTTGTCATCCATGCGTGTGTGTGTATGTGTAAGTGTGAGAGAGAGAGGCTGAAAGTGTTGTCAGTTCTGGTGTAATTGAGCAGACGTTATCAGTTTGCTCTGGTGTTGCTGTCCACAGGTGGATGTGAGAAGTTGCTTCTCTTTAGGTCGCTGATATTACAGTTGTATTGTTTTATTGTCTTTGCTATGTTCAGTATGTTTAATTAAAACACTTTATATTTTATAATATGTTTTAAATATAGATTTATAGCTGAATCAGCTTAATGTGTTTTTCAAGCGAGTTTAAATTCCAGAAATTGCTTTGTTGCTTTTAAGACCTAGTAAACTGGTCATCTGCAGCTCCGGTCATCTGTAGTGTTTAATTTTAATTTTTGGGTTTGTAGCTCATGATGGTTTCGCTCGGACTCACCGTTCTTGCTGCTTGCTCGCTTTCTTTCTCTGGTGTGAGTTTTTAAAGGATAATGACTTCCAAGAGTTTTTTCAAGCCTTTTTTATTTATGTTTATATAATGTATAGTATAGTAGATTGGGTTGTTTTAAGGATAATAAGGGGAAATTTTAGTATTTGTGCATTATTTAGATTAAAGTCTTGAACTTATGTTGCAATCTAAAATTTCCACAAAACTTTAACTAGTAAATGATCAAATTTTATAAAAAAATGTGTTTAAAAAGTAAATACTGACCCATATTTTTTCCAAAACTTTATAAAAAATTGCTTATGTTTTTATTTGTAATTCTACTCTTGTATTACAGTGATATAACAGTGGTACTTTGAATGTCTGATGGACAAACTTGTCAAGCCTAGCTGCGAAAAGTAGGGGTGCATCGGGCCCATAAGTTTAGGTCATTTCTAGCAGACTCTGTCTCAGTGCCATGTCTCTTTGAGATGCGATTTCAGATGTGCTCATGCACCAAACCTCTGCTGTTGGCTGGGGAAAGTTTTCTAAAACTTTTCTAAAACTTTTGTGCTTCTCCGGCAGTGCCTCTTCCTCTCTGTGACTGTGGCGAGTTTCATGCATACGCGCCCGATCGCTGCATACAGCCTGCGTTTCTCTGGAGCAGCGATGAGTCAGTTTAGCCTTCTCCCCTTTTCTCTGTGCTGTGGCGTGCGTTCCCTTAGCACACTTCTAGATTTCCTTTTCTCTCTCTCTCTTTCTCTCTCTCACTCTGTCTCTCTATCGTGCGCTCTCTCTCTCTCTCTCTCCCTCTCTCTCTCTCTCTCTCTCTCTCTGTCTGTCTCTCTCTCTGTTTCTCCCCCTCATTGTGGCTGAGTATCCCTTCTCCATCTGTGTGGTCTTGGAGGCTTGTGTCATGGCTATAACATAGACTCCTACATTGTTGGAGACAGGTCGGACAGAATGAGTCGGAGAGAAGGTTGGCTGGGTTTGGAGGGGGGGAACGGAGGAGTATTCCTTCAGAATGTTTGTTTTCCTGTTTCCAATTTGGTCGGCCAGAGGGCCTGTTCTGTCAGAGATCCCATTCATGGACTCCGCCATACAGAGCTGCGCTTTTCTCTCTGGATGTTTATTGTGGTCTCTCTGTTGTAGTTATCACAACGTTGCCTTTTGAGTCGAGCCAAAATTGTTGTTCTCAGTCGCTGATTGTATGGTTGTAGACTCCACGGGAGGCCAAGATGATTTCCCTCAAAGTTCTGCAGCAAACTTTCATATTGTTTTAGCGGTATGCCCATTTACATGATAACTGTATGTGTGATGAGCAAAAGCTGAAGTTGTGTGTGTTCTGTGTTAAAGTCTGTCATATCTAATCTGTGGCTGTTTCTGTGTGTGTTTGGTGACAGGTTTTGCTGTGAAAGCGGAGAGTGGTGTGATGCAGCTCCCGGTGTCATCCAGGATCACTTGTGAGCACCTTTGAAGAAGAGACGAAGAAGAAGGAGGGCGCGTTTTGGAAGAGAAACGAATGCGGAAACAACCCCAACGCAAGTGAACTCGGCTCACGCTGATGGAAACAATGGAATAAATTTGAAGTCAGCATGGACGTGGAATAAAGGATACCTTAGAGGCAGGGCAAGGGCTTTGGATTTTTCTGCCAACTCTGATATCTGCCTCCCTGTGGAACTGGTACTGATAATGCTATAACCCAATGCTCAGCAGAGGTACGTATTCGCATCATTATGTGGCAGAAAAATACAGGGATTATACACTATTTGCGAGTGTGTGAGAGAAAAAGAGAATGAGGTATTATTGGGCTTTCTCAATTGCGAGTGAATTGCGAGAAGTCTACCAGAGTGACCAACAGCATAGCAGATGCCACAAAAAACGAGAAGTTCTTTTGCTTTGCTAAATTCCCACATTATTATTGTGGTAGGCTTATTATATGAGGTTATGTGAGGTTCACCTGGCTTTCCTAACTCCTTTATGGTCACTTCTAACCCAGTCTTCCTGTTCTCGGCTTCCTCCCAGTCATCTTCACCATTAGAGAACTCAGCTGTTAAAGTGCTTTGATCTTGGGCAAGGCCATCGTTCCATGCTTTAGCTTTAGGGTTCACGTGGAACGGCAGTATTTCTTGACTGTCATTTGCTTGCCTGCCAGTACGTTCCTTCATCTGTAATATTTTACAAGCTGTAGAACGTCCTAGACTGTTCCGCAAACATGCTACTTTCGGATGATATGCATGTGGAAATTGGTTACGTTTTATTGTCTAGTACAACTTTTTTAGTCATCCAAGCTCTTTTATATTATCTCAAATATATTGTAGCATTATTATTGTCAGCTTTGTTGTATGGTAACGTACATGTGGTTATATAATTATTTCTTTTATAAGTTGTTCAAGTGCCTTCTTAGTACCATGGCAGGACATCTCTGTTTTATATTCCCATCTGCATTTAGCACATTCAGTGACAGTTTCATTCATATCATGTCTTTTTCCCCCCCAAAGTTGCTTAATATTTTGCTGCATTTGGAAGTTGGCTTTCATATGCATGTCATTTTAAGCCATTGGACTGAGTGATGAATTAAAATTATAGCCCTGTAATACATCAACGTGAAGCACCATTGAGAAACGTCTCCAATAGTGAATTGCTTGTTGAGGTCATTTTATGCGATTTGCTGTTCTGGAACCCTTGACGTCGTTTTCAGTATAACACAATGTCCTCCGTTGTACTTTTGTACATGTGTTTCTGGCTTTAGTCTTGAACTAATAATGCAAAAGCAATGAGCGTAGAAATCCAATAATCTTATTAAGTTCCGAAAATGACCGCATACTTCGCGGTCTGGATTTCCAACAGTAGTTGATCCTAAATAAAGTAATGTGAAAGAATGTCATAGCTGACTGCTTTTCTCCTGTGCGGACGTGCATATTAAACGCCCTGTAACGAGTGCCGATTACGAGATACTCACTTTGTTAACGCTGCAGAAATGGAGGCTTCTCTGATGTGCCATGCGATTTCAGCAGATTAGTGTAATGTTAAACATATGCTATCTTTTCCAGACTGGGTAGGAAAATCTGTCTGTGCTTTTGCACTTGCAATTACCTCCTCTGCTCACGTCTGGGTAATGTGCTTTGGCTGCCTGCATTTTTAGATCTGGTGAGTTATGCAGGAAGACTGAGAGGGGATGTAGAGATTAACCTCCATGGATCCCTCGCTCACACACTCCTACAAAGGCTCCTAGGTCAGAGGTCACCTGACATCTCTAACTACTAAGACGAGTGCCTAGAGGCCCCGGTGTCTCCTGTAGAATGGCTTTGTGTTTCTTTGAGTGCCAAGGAGAAAATCTGTGATTTTTTTCTTGTTGTTCAGGGCATTTTCTTCGAATTATCATGCCTTTTCACAAGGCTAGATAGATGATTAAAAAGTAATTCCGATTTTAGGCTGCATGAAATTGCTGTTTCTCAGAGCCGTAACTTATATTGTTTCCAATTAGCACTTTTTAAGGAAAGCTTGGTGTGCTTTTTTTGTTTGAAAAGTTAAGTTTTGGTTATGTTTTGCCTGCTTTTATCCCAAACTCAGTCATAGTTACAGATGTTACAGTGCTCATTTCATAGCTTTACTGGAACCTTTAATTGTGGGAAATAAGAAACAGAAGGTACGCTAATGTCTGTTTTGATGTGCTGCACTGGCCAGAACAGACCGTGCACTTTTGACAGGCGTTCTGTGTTAGTAGAAGTACTGTATTCAACATGGCACCATGTACAGTGACTAAATGAAAATCATCTGAATTTCAGCTTGACCAGCTCTGCCTTAAGTGTAAATGACCCAGATATCCACACAGATATGCGGTTTCTATTTGTGTGTGAAAGTGTACAGTGAATCTGAGATATGCATGTGCAGGCTAAAGCTTGCCTGTTAGTATGGTGAGTCATATTTATGGAGATTTTATGTCATCATTTAAATGGTTTGTTCAGGGCCCGAGTGTCTTTTTTTGGAGTTATGTATACACAGAGCTACTCTGTGTATGAGCCTTCACCCTTTAAGGTTTGTCTCATGCGCAGAGACATCCCTTTAACGTCCATTTTTAAGTCTAAACAACATTTTATGCCTGCCGTTACTGCTGTGCTTATTATCTGTAACCTTGCAGTGTGCAATCTTGGTGACTTATGAGGAGAAAATGCAAGTGGTCTGCATAGTTCCCCAGAAGGTGCCTATGTGATCTACGGTGTGCCAGCAAACCGAGAAACGATTGGTGGTAAATGATATCGTAGTGCTAATGCTGAAGTTTAGAGTTTAAAAAATCCTCCAAATCTGAAGCTGTGTGGGCTCGCCATCTGCAAACGAAAGCAGAAGCACATGGTTTTCAGGCGTTTTCAGGCTACATTTAAGTCACATAGCCCTGTTTTCATTTAACTTGCGACATGCCACAGCGCCGAAAAAGTTCACAGCAGGTGAATGTCAGAATATTTTTTATAGCTAATCAGCTCCCAAAAAAGCTGTCAAGGCTGTGTTTCTTTCAGTTATGGTTTACATATAAAATTTTAGTTGGTGGAAAGAAATCCGCTTCCATCTGCAGGCCCGATTCCGTTCTGAACACAGGCCTTAATTAACTAGCTCAGGCTTCAGGAGTGAGAGTTGTCATTCGAGCGCATGCTTAATGAGACGTGCAGGTATTCTGTAGCTAACCTCCTCTATGGCCGTGTATGTTAACTCTCCAAGCCTGCGGTAAGCTAAGTAAATATGAAATTTGGAGACAGTTGCAAAATGACAGTAATGAGTGGTGGTTGCAGCTGGTGGGTGGGGTGAACCTGCTGAAGAGTGAGGAGGAAAGGGCTGCATCTGCCAACCAATTAGGCCTATCTCTCCCTCCCTACATGGCACCTTATTGTACTAACCCCAAACCCACCATCCAACTAATATAATTAGATCGAGAGCAAAAATCCTGGGCCACTGGCAGAATGCAAAATAAGGGAGCGATTCATTCTCTTGTAGTGTTAAAAAAAAAATAGAAGAAGGCAATGGTTGAGTGCAGGCCTGTTGTTTTTAGCGGATTGTTTCCGTGAGGCCTGCAGCATATGGTGGTGGAAAAAAGGGCCCTGAAAGGGGCTAAAGAAAAGGGGGCTGGACGCAGCAGTGAAGCTGCAAACAAAACGTCTTGAGTTGGTGAAACGGAGGGCGAATGGTGAGCGCCACACACTCAGGAGTTGTTTATTTAAAAAGCCAGGCAGAATTAATCACTGTCTTCATCATCATCTTTGGCAGATTGAATAATGAGCTATTTTTCACCCAGTGTTGTTTTTTCTCTTGTTTTTTTGATAATTGCCAATCCATTGAGTGGCTTTGACAAAGTGGTCCCAACCACACTCTTCACACTTTGAGTGATGTCTGCACAGCGTCAGTACGCAGTGCTGTACTGCTGGTTCAGGGCCCAGATCCCACACTGTACCCGCTGCACTGTGTAACAGGCAATTTGGAGTCGACTCTTGGGCTTTCTGAAAAGACGCAGATTGTGTTGCTTGATGCAAAGGCCTGCTTTGAACTACATGACCAAGCCTGCCACCTTGACAAGACAGTTGCTGCTTGGGTCATTTGCATCTCCCTCTTTCAGGCTGTGGTTTGAGACCCTGCGTTGTAAGCCCCGGTGGGTGAATTCAACCTCCTTGAATAGCAGCCCGAGGCCATTGAGAGTAGCTTCGTGTATCCAGGCCGTGTCTTTGGCAGACACAAACAAGGGCCTTCAAAGATCTCCTCATTTATTTAGACGAAGTCCCAAAGGCTTGTTCCAGTCCCCAGCCCCCTCCTCGTGAGGCTATCAGATGTTTCCCTGCTACAAGGAGGGCAATTTACAAATGTAGGTGTTGTTACAGCACAGATGAGACAACAGGCATGGTGTCAAACAATGGTGTAGCTTGCTGTAAAGCCCGCATTGTCTTGCTAATTGAGAGGATCAGGTATAGAAGTTTGTCTTAGTCCACTGGTTAAAGGTATGGTGTGACATTAGAGAAGTCCCTGCTAGCTTTGAGTTACTGTTTCTCTGCCTGTGCTGGCGCTGAAAGGGCACTGTTCCATTACCATATGTGCCTGTGGTCACATGCGGCTTAATTTGAGCAATGTGATTGCACAATCCGTCGTAGATGATGGAGTAGTGGGGTTTCTGTTAGTTTACCATTTGAGTAAACACAGTCCCCTTAAATGCTTTCTTTCTGATTTGTATTAGTTTTTAGGGAACCATTGCTAGTAACGTCAGGTCACGGTTTTTAATTAGGCCAAAGGGGGGTAGGGGTGTAAATTAATAAACAGAACATCCAGTATGTCTTCAGAAAGGGGGAAAAAGTAGATCGGTCTCATAATACTTTTACTTCTTTTTACTAAGCTCCCACAAGCGTGTTGCTAGCCGCTAGCCGTCTATGGTCTGGCCCATCTGCTCGTAGCCTCAGATAGGCATCAGGCCTGGAGGACAGGAAGGCAGAAGATGGTCTTGCAGTGTAAAACACAGTGCTGGAGTGTTGAACAGGCCCATCCCCGTCTCTCCCGGACTGAACCCTGGCTGGCTGCACTTTGTCTCTGTCATGGGGAGAGATGTAGAAGGAGAAGTTTAGCGGGCCTCCCTCCCCTCCTCTCCTTCGCCGCGGTCCATAACTCTTCAACTGGACCGGGGGAGCTGAGCCCAGAGGCGGTTCTCCCCTGGCCTGCGCCGCTCGCCACTCTCAGCACCTATTATGGT